AAATATCTACAGCTTTGTTGCAGACCATAGTAGCAAATAATCACTTTATAAATGAGTTTGGATACAAAACATTCGATTCATAAAGTCTGCCCGAGACTAAAGTATGATATAAATAGCACCTCAGTATTTATCTTCTAAATCATGTTACCGACCTCTAAATTACATGGTTATAGTTTGCTTAGAACAATAAGAGATAGCCCTACAACTTTCATTTAGAACACAAAAGCAGATAAGGTCTTTAAGATGGTGTAAAATCTACTAACATTTAACATCAGTTTTCTGCCAAAGAGTAAAACCCTACTTCATGTATATCTACAATCATGTGAACACAACGCGAGCTATAGATATCAACTCAGCATGAATCCTATCTCATTATGATACCATAAACATGCCAAACATTATATAGACTCATGCTGTCGGTTCCAGAAAAAACTGCTTGCGCACTCGTTTTATAAAAATCATAACTCACTCGATATAACTCGGATTAATGAAATTCCAAAAGCTAGAGAAAGCTAACAAGATGAACTATATTTCATATGAAGAACAAATTTTCAGAAAACAATTGCTTGAAGTCATAACAGAGGAACCTTACCTCCTTCAAGAAAACGAAAATGTGGAGAAATGAAAGAGGTGTTGCTCGGTTCTTCTACTTCTCTCCCTATCTTGCTTGAAATCTGATTTTCTCTCTATTTGCTCAAGTATTCAGGTTTTTAATGGTCTAATACAGCTAAGAAATGAAACACAAGAACATGATAAGAGGGGACATAAGATCTAGATCCCATCTAAACCTAAAACTAATATTTTACCAACTAATGATGCCAAAAGAGAGTAACATGGTTCTCTAACTCATGCATGAGTATGGATTCGGTTTTGGTACTTAAAATGACTGAACAAAACTTATTAACTTTGTTTTTGATGCTTACTAAAAGGATTGAGAAGAAAATAAATTTTACGGAACCGAAATCGGACTTAAAATCCGACAATAATTGAAAACCAAAGAATTTGACGACAATCAATATTTCCTCTTCTAATTCGGTTTTTATGGATAAAAATACTATTACAGAGATGGTAATATAATAGTCTTAAGGTCTTGTTGATTCGTTTTGATGTTCGGGTCGCAAGGGTTCTAAAACGAATTCAAACGAACAACAATTCGGCTTACGCGATTAAATCGAAAATTCAAACGACGATTGATAAAATAAAATCGAACGAGCTATATAATCACAGTATCCATATAATAATATAAAATATAATCTCAAAATTAAGATTCGATAGATAGAATAATTCGAAAAATTCTATAAATCGAACGGGGCGCTACAATTAAGCTCGGCTACATCCGTCCGTCGGGATAACGCGTACGCTACTGCATTCTGTCGACCGGGTCGATAGACTATCTCAAAGTCAAACCCCATAAGTTTAGATACGAACTTCTGCTGCTCGGGGGTAACAATCCTTTGCTCGAGCAGATGCTTAAGCGGTTGCTGGTCGGTCACAATCCGAAAGCATCGGCCCAATAGATAAGGCCTCCAGCACCTTACAGCCTCAACAACTGCTAGCATCTCTTTTACGTACACAGATAGACCCAATCGAGTAGTGCCCAGTGCCTTGCTGAGATAGGCTAAGGGTCTCCCCTCTTGCACTAGCACAACTCTGATCCCAATGTCACTCGCATCTGCGTGTACCTCGAACAAGATATCAAACCTTGGCATGGCGAGCACTGGCATTGTAGTCATGGCTACTTTCAGTTTCCCAAACGCCTCCTCGCTAGCTTCGGTCCATGTGAACCCGCCTTTCTTAGTCATCTCTGTCAGTGGCTTGGCGATGGTTCCATAATCCTTCACGAACTTTCTGTAGTAGCCCGCGAGCCCTAGAAATCCCCTTAACTGTGTGAGACTTGTCGGTTTTGGCCAATCGATCATAGCCTCAATCTTTCGTGGATCAACCTTCACGCCCCCGTGGGATATGAAATGCCCTAGATACTCAACCATCTTCTGCCCGAATGAACACTTGGATGGCTTGATGTGAAATGAGTTAGCCTCCAAGATATCGAGCACCACTCTCAAATGCTCAAGATGCTCCACCCACGATTTTGAATATATCAAGATATCATCAAAGAATACTAGAACGAACTTACGCAAATACTCTTTGAAGATGGATTTCATAGCAAACTGAAAAGTGGATGATGCGTTGCACAGTCCGAATGGCATAACCAAATACTCATAGTGCCCCTGATGCGTACGAAATGCTGTCTTAGGTATGTCGGCCTTATGGAGCCGAATCTGATGATAACCAGCCCTCAGGTCGAGCTTTAAAAAATAGCGTGACCCAGCTAACTCATCGAGTATGTCGTCACACTAGGGATAGGAAATCGGTCCTTGATAGTTGCGGCATTCAGAGCTCGATAGTCAGTACAGAACCTCCACGTGCCATCTTTCTTTTTAGCTAACAGTACTGGAGAAGAAAACAGACTCTTGCTATGCTGGATTAGACCTAACTCAAGCATCTCGGCCACCTGCCGTTCGATCTCAGTTTTCTGAAAGTGAGCGTACCTATAAGGATGGACATGTATGGCATGCTGCTCATTGATCAGTGGTATGCGATGATCAAACTCTCGGTGTGGCGGTAGTCCCTTAGGCTCACCCAGTAATCCTTCAAATTCCTCGAGAAGCTCGTGTACATCTCCTTGTTGTTGTTCATCTCGGTCTATGTGCGCCTCGGTGTTCTCGACCACTACTGCAAATATTTGGCCTCCCCTTCGCCAAAATTTTTCGATGCTCTTTAGTCCTACCTCCTTGGTACCTTTTTCATTGCCAGTACTCAGAGTGACTTTTCGACCTCCAGAGTTGAACTCCATAATTCCCGTTCGATAGTCTGTAGTCACCTTTCTTAACCCTTCGAGCCACTAAACTCCCAAAACGACATCCGATCCAACAAAAGGTAAGGCATAGAGATCAGCCTTCACAGTAACTCCGCTGAACTTGATTGGCACCTTCCGGAATGACTCAGTACATTGTAGCCTCTCCCCCATTGGCTACTCGTACTTCAAAGGGCTCGATTTTTGTGGTTGGCAACTTCAACTTTTGAGACAAATCAGCGTTAATGAAATTATGTGATGAACCATTGTCTATGAGTACGATTACCCTACGATCCTGGACCCACGCTGGTAGTCGCATCGTTCTTGGCCCTCTGATTCCAGCCATTGCATGCATCGAGATCTCAGGTTCTTCATTAAATGCTTCCAAGTTGTCCTCTGGATCCGGTTCTTCCTCGATTTCATCTTCCTCATTGTCGGGATTGGCTACTTCAACCACAAAAGCTTGTTTACACTGATGGCCTGGCATAAACTTTTCTTCACTTTTGAAGCATAGACCTTTCTCGCGTCGACGTCTAACTTCTTCGGGAGACAACCTCCTTACTATCGACCCTACCGGCCGATTGCTGACATTCGGCCGTGCGCTGGCCGTAGCCTGGCTCGATCCCGTGCGTCGCATGTCCGTAAATCGCACATCCGCCTATCCCCTTCGCGTGGCGACTAGGTGGACTACCTCCATGGCTTTATGCATCGTGTCTGGCCGCTCCAGTCGGACTTCTGCGGCTAGATCGAATCTCAGCCCACCTATGAAGGCTCCTACTAGTGCATCCTCAGACCAATCTGGCACGCAGCAGACCAGTCATTCAAACTCCTTGATGTATTCACGCAAATTGCCTGTCTGGCGTATTCGCGTGAGGGCCTCATTGTAGTTATGATAATCAAACGTACCAAAACGTGTGAGCAATTCCCTTTCAAAGTCAGCCCATGTAATGATCTGTTGCCGCCTACGGTAGATCCTTGAGAGCCATTGCCACCATACATTGGCCTCACCATCTAGGTATAATGCTGCGTACCTTACTCGGTCGTGGCCTTCGGTTTCATTCAGTTCGAAATATTGCGCAATACGGTTAAGCCAAGCCTCTGGATCACTACCCGTGAAGATGGACATTACGAACCTCGGTTTGTCGGGCTTCGGTCGTTCTCGGTAGGTGGACGCCTGCAACCGCTGGTCGAACTCCTCCTCGTGCTCGTAACCCTCGCGTCGCCGGTCCTCGTCATGTTCGCGCGTGCGCCATTGCTCGTGTCGATCCTCGCGCCGTGGTGATGGTGTGCGATCGGCGTGCTCGGCGTGTCGGCGCGGTTCGCGCCTTGGGGGATCATCGCGGTGATGTGGGGGTTGCTGCTGGAACGCGCGCAAGACTTCCTCTAATCGTTGTTCGAGTCGTGTGACAACGACGTTGGTGTTGTTTTGACTTTCGTCAAGAGATCCAAGCCTTCCTTCCATAACCTCGCTCATACTTCGCATCTGGATGTCAAGGTTATCGATCTTATCCTTTATCTCCTTGTTGGCCATTGCTTTTCTTTCCTCTCTTCGCTCTTTGCTTTATGGACTCGTGGTAGAAGAATAACACACGATCAACACCTCTCAATGAAAGCACCAATGATGAGGATCATGTGTTTCGATTGCCGATAAGCCGCTAACCCGCGCCTTGAATCGCCGATAGTGTTTCTCTAGCCACAACCGCGCCTATTGAAACGAATAAAATTGCAGTAGTATTTTGGTGAAAAGACTAAAGCAAAGTGGAAGAACAAAGTTCTAAATTTCTATTGATTCTTGAATGATGAAAAATAACATGGGGGATGGTCCTTTATATAGGCACCAAATAGATCTAATCCTAATATAACTATAACTCTAAGAAAGCAATAAAATATTAAGTATCCTTACTAAGATAGATATCATAATGCTAGATGGAAACTAAATAACTTGTCTTGCTCTCTAAGTAATCCTTCTCTCTCACTATCTCCCTTCGGCCGCCTCTCGCACCGCCCGCACGCCCTCGCCCTAGTCCTCGAGGACTAGGGCTGCTGACCTTGCTAGCGCGTGCTCGTGCGCCTGGCTTGCCGCGCACGCCTGCGCGTTGGTGCCGTGCTCATGCGCGTCCCCATACGCCCGTCCGCATTCCTTGAGGATTGCGGTTTCGCGCCCCGCGCGTCCTCCTCCCTCAGGCGTGTCACGCGCGCCTTCGACCCCAGCTGCTCTCTCGCGCGCGTGCCGCCCCGCCTTTCCGCATGCCTCGAGGCATAAGGCCTCGCAGACGCGTGCCTTGTCTGCGCACGACCTTTTCGTGCGCTCGCTCGTCCGGCCCATACTGTGCACATCGTTACCAATCGCCTGCGTGCATCCGCCCGTGCCTTTCACCCACACACCCGTGCACTGGCCATTACCATTCGCCCCGCGTGCACTATGCTCGAGTGCGTGTGTTTTCACATTTACCCATGCTAACCTCTTACGTGCGTGGTAAGCGCGACTTGCGGCATTCTTGTGCTGCCTAGCCACTTCCGCATCACGCCCGTGTGTACGTGCGCGCACAACCATGTGCAATGCATGTTACCGTGCGTAGCATGTGTGCGGCGTGCCTAGCCCACCGTCCATAATTATCTTAGATTATGCTAAGTACCATGATCAAGTAAAATTCATCCATGCTTAAGAATTATGTTGGTGCCGTGAGAAATTCTTCAAGTAATATTATATGTGCAAGTTGCTAAGGTGAGTAACCTAGTAGCTTGGCACACATGGAACCACACGAGGCCGCGTGCGATGACTAAGCTCGTGCATGCGCGCCACCTCGAACGGTGACTAAGCGAGTGTTAGAGGTATGCTGTAAAAGCTGTGTTTTGCAGTTTCT